CTTTAAAAAGAATTTATTGCTGGTAAGAGAGCTCGGGATCAAGGAAGGTTCAGGGAAAGAAAAGGCCTTTAGAGGTATTGCAGCTGCTGTTTTTGCAGTGAGTGGTGTGTAAGATGTTTCAGTGTTGGAATTCATGTAGGAAAGATAGTTCCTTCTCATTGTGAATATTATTGTTAACAAAAGACACAGGTTATAGTTGTTTAGGGTTTCCTTTTTATTTGAATGTAATCAGAATCTCTGAACAAAACAGTTTGATTACTCTGAATTTGGATGCTTGCCAGCCCAGAAATAGAAGGATATCTGTAATTCCACATGGAGGTAGAACAGGGTTTTAGTAGAAAACAATTTGCAGGGTCATAATATGCAGCTTGGGGTGAGTGGGTTTTTTTGTTGGTTTTTGTGTGTGTTTGGTTTTTTTTTAATTTTTTTTTTTTTTTTATTGCTCCTGGTACTTTTTAAACTATTTGCAAGTTTATGGGCTTCTCTTGCTCTAAGTTCCAATCTAGTGAGACTTTTACAACACGGCAGAATGAAAAAGCAAGAGCCCTGATTGGGCAGTGCTGACAGCAGATTTTATCCTGGGAGCACAAATGAAAATAGCCCAGTTTTCCCCAGTTCTTCCAACATGTCAGACTTATGTTCTGCTTGCCTCCTTTCTAGTGAATATTTGTTTGTGCCTGTATGTGCACATACATGTTCTCTTTTGTCTTTAAATATTAAGACTTTATGTTATTGTAAAGAGGACGAAAATTATATGAGTAGTAATATTATGCTAATGCAGTAATATTATGCTAATGCTTTGGTTTATGATTAGCACTTATGAACTCAAATAAACTTTTAATATTTCAGGGTTGTTTGTTTTGGGGTGAGGAGTTTTTTTTTGCTTTGTTTTCTTTTTTTTTTTTTTTTGTGAGGTGCAGAAACTGAACCTTGTGAGCTGCTGTGTAATGTCCAAATGATGACTTTCCTTCGTTTTGCTGGAGGTTTGCTCCTGTGTGTCCCAGGTCAGGCCTGTTTTCCGTGACTGAAGAATGCGCTCTCCTTGCCCATTGGAACCAATAAGAAATCTTCTGCTGATTTCAGTGGGCTTTGGCTCCCCTCCCTGCTCTACAGGTTGAAACAGCCCAACAACACACAAAACCTCTTGCTCAGAATTTCCACTTGTTTATTTGGCAGCAGGGTCTCGCTGCGGAGCGATTCAACCTCCCAGTGCTCGTTCAGCCAGGGAGACACGCATTGTTCCGCTGATATTTGTGCATCACCAGTGCATGCTTTTCAGTCTTGCTTTACTGCTGATATTAATGTGCTGTTCTGTATCTTCCTGCAAGAATAGTAATCTGAATAGTTTACAGATCCTGCCCTTTTTACCCAGCAACTGTAGAAAAAAAGCCTGTTAATACCAAGTCATCTTCTGTATAGGTTTGTCGCAGGTGAACATGTGGATCCCCACTAACTCCCCATGTCAGCCATCACACCACATCTGTGGTGTGTGGAAATGGTACCCAGCTTGTTAACTGGATCCATCTTAAGTATCCTTTTGTTTTGTTTTGGGGGTGGGTGGGTGGGTGGTTTTTTTGTTGTTTAAGAAAGTTATGTACACTATTCCTTGGTAATAAATCCTATGTGAAGAAGCTGATTTGGGACCACATTTTAGATTACTGATGAAAGCTAGACAAGCAGGACTAGTGGAGTCATTACAAGATAGCGATAGTCATTGCAAGCCTGGCTCTAGTAGCGTAAGGAGGCTGTTGCTCAAAGTTCTCAGTGTTTTATAGGAACGGCCACTACTACGGTAGTGCACCTCGAAAGGTCTCAGGTATTCAAATACTATTGCATATGCCTTACTGAATAATAATGCATATTACAAAGGGATGTGGTATGCTCTAGTAGCGACGTTTTGAAAAGTAACTGAGGTTATTAAGGAGGTTGGGAACAAGTCTGTTAGAAGAGAAGTTACTCTTTTGAAAAGTCTTGGCAGTGTTCCCCAAGGCACTTGTGTTCTTGTGGCTTTTGTGTCTTTCTCTGCTCCCCTGAAAGAGGCAAATAGTCTCTTACCTGGGAAGATACAATGAGAGTGGCTCATTTTAAAACAACCTGTATTAAAAAGAAATGCATTGGCTGTGGCATTTGTCCTTTACGTGTTGTTTAGAAGAGCATTTTAAACCTCTTTCATTTCTGACCACCTTGGGCTTCAGCAGAGAGCTCCGCCAGCTCAGCGGCTTGTCTCTGGGAGCCCTGGATCCAAAGTGTGCCGCGACCATCTGCGGATTGCAAGTAGCAAAATCTATTTTGGGGAAAGTTGGCGCAATATCTCTGTGTGCTGTGTACTCCAGCCAAAGCCATGAGTAATTTAATAAGCACCAGGGAGAAAACAAACAAAACCAAGTATGTATGTTTGATGTTGCAGTTGTATTGAAAAGTACTGTGTAGGTCTGAGTGCTTGGCATTCGTGGTGTAGATCGAGACAGGAATAGTAACAGGGCAGGCTGAGATGTCAGCAGTGTTGTGCAGACCAAAATGGGTGAGTGTTTCAAAAGACATGAAGCAGCAGAAGGAGCTTTGCTCTCTTTAGCATGGTTGTCACACTTGTAAAAAGTAGATCCCGTTTATGACTTTTAATTTCCTATATGTCCCTCTGTCTATTGAATGATGAAAATTATGGCTGAAGAACTGATGGAAAAACATGACTGGGAAAACAGCTGATGCTAAATGAGGGGAAGTTAAAACTAACTTAAGATTGTCCTTTTGTACCTTCAGTATCGCACTGAATACTATCCTGAGGCTCAAAAACATACTTGGTGGTAGCCTCAAAAGGGAAAAAGTCAAGGTGGGTGGGGGAGAGCTGAGCACCTGGTTGCAGTAACAGTCTGGATTAGTCCAAACACATCCGAAGAGCTCCTTGCAGGAGAGTTGTATAATTGTTAAGGGAAGATACTGACTGTCAAGAAGCGAGTACTGCCACCAAGGGTGGCAGTTTTGTTCCTTTGCCCTCCCTTCTGTGTTGGCTTGAGTGCTTGTGCAGCCATGGGGAAAATGTGCTGGGGACCCATGGGGGAGGAGGAGCTGATTGATCTCGGATAAGTTGCACCCGGCAAAACAGAAAAGTTTCTTCTACCGTCGGTGTTGGTGTTCCTGACACTGGGCCATGCTGTCTCACATTGAAGAAGAGGTTTCAGAGGTCTCTCTCATGCTAAAAGCCAGTGTCTTGGCTGTTAAACCATCTTTTATAGTTTTTTCACATTTGCTGTTAAGAGAATTTTTTTGAGGTACATAGAAAGGATATTTACAGAATCATTTTTTACTTCCTAGAATGTTTGGAAAATGGTGTTTCATTGAGCAAAAATTTTCCAGCTAACTTGAACAACAGATAATGTTTAAAAAATGCTGTCAACATGAAACGCATTGTACGCATACCATTTCAAGTAGTAGATGTGGCCAAAATTGCTTCTAGTTTGCTTTATATTCCTCCTAATTTTTTGTCTTCTGCAGCTGGCATCTCCCATACCTAGCTGCACAAAGCTTTCCTGGCACACACAGGGCAGCTGACCAACTGACTGATTGGAGATGGGAAATTGCTCACGTGCGAAATGGCATCAGATGTACAGAAGAAATGCTTCTATTTTATATTGTTTGTAACAGAAGGATTGTGTCTATTTACTGAATCAGTGATCTGTGGTTCCTTTTTTTTTTTATTAAATGTTAAAAATTGTTTAGTTCATTTGCAGAAGTGGGCTACATAGAGCCTACTGGAAACTTCTGTTTCGCTATGTTTGGAAAAAGTTCAGCACTAATAAAGTTGGAAGCTATTTTAAATGTGCACATTCCAGCCCCTGAATATGTTTTTTCTGTCTTAGTGACACAAGTACCTCCTTGCTGCAGTCCCATACATGGAAATTTGCCGTCAGTCAGCATCCTTTTCCAGAGCTCACACTGAGTCAGGAAACCGCCTCTGCAGTAGTCAGACCTCCAGCAAAGCAAGCCCTCTGCCTCTCCTTTAGGGATGATTAAACTTCCAGTAGATGATTATTGGTGTGGTATTTGAGAAGATGTCACTGGTGGGGAGGACAAGGCTCTTCCCTTCCAAGCTGTGACACTTAAGAAGTTGGGTACTAAGAAGAACATAGGAGTTGTATGTGACAGTAGAGTAGAAAGAGGAGAGGGGAGAAAAATCTGCATCTATATACTGTACCTGCATGATTTTTCTTCCCGAGTGTCCATAAGCATTAGAGAAATGGATTCTCTTATTTTGCAGTAGTATTTCACAGAGGAGATGTAGTTTAAAGGGTCTGTTTTTTCATGAAGTCATCCTGCTGTGCACGAGACGCAACTTTATTGCTGTTTTGTTGTGGGGCTGGTGGAATTGAGTGCATGCGTAAGTGGTTGAGGAGGAACAGGGTGTTTCAACCTGGTGTTCCAAACTTCTGAGACCTTCTCTTTAAAAGACGTGGTTGCTTTAAATGCAACTACATGGTTTGCCAGATATCTGTTTAAAGTAGAGAGTAAGTTTTCAAGCCTGTTTGTAGACTCGACAAAGCTCAAGCTCTGAAAGCGGCAACATCTTCAAAATAGTGGATTCTTTACTCTCAGGTGAAGAGTTGGAGTGGAAGTCTGGAGGAGAACAAGAATGGTAGTTTTTACATCCATTGTTGCAACTGGATGTGCCAGTTCATATGCTTATCCTCACATTGACTTCTCAGTTCATGCTTCACAATTAAATGGATGGATAGTTTTTCCCTTCCCACCCTTCTTAATTTGTGGTATCAGGAGTAGAAGTCACTGAGAACATGCATGCTACATGTAACTTGTACGTGACATTACTATGCAGGACAGCAAATATTTGGCATAACTGATTTGTCAGATATCCACCCTGTGGATTTCCAAATTACTTTTGTGCTGGACACATCCATTGTCAGAAAACCATGATTTCTGCACAAAGTAGATACTTGTTGATAACACTGCTGTAAAGTTCTAACCATCCTTTCTTTTTCTCTTTCCTAAAGCTTGTACAATGAGGACAGAAACTTGCTGCGTATCCGAGAGAAAGAGAGGCGGAATCAGGAGGCTCTGCAGGAGAGAGACAAGTTCCTTGAGAAGACTCCCCTCTTCGCAGAACCCTACAAGGTAACGGCAGGTGGCACATGGTAGAGGAAGAGGAGGAAGGAGGGTTGGGGTGGGAGAGGAGAGCTGTGGCCTCTGCATATGGTATAGCAGACTTAAGCATGATATGGGCAAACACAGCATCTTCCCACCTGCTTAATTTAAATTCATCAGAGTATGTGCTTGAAGCTCCGTATGTAACACAGACTTTGGACAGGTTCATCTGGGGGCCTCCTGTAGTCTGGGAGTTCGAGGGAGAGTGCTGAAGAGCAGGAGCAGCTTGGCTGCCTGTCTGCCTGCAGCCGTGAATGAAACTGGGTCTGATGGTAGTGTTCCTGAAGGCTGCAGGCCCACCTATGGTCTTGGCTCAGAAGAACTGATACTGACCAGAGCGGTTGCACTTGCTTTGGAAAGACTGCATGCAGGATCAAGATGAGCTTGAATAATTTTCATTTGTGGTGATACACGGTGATTAAAATAAGATCCCGAAGAATGCCTCTTCTTGAGCTGGATCTCTTGGGGTACGGGGGTCTGTGCTCTTTAAATTTCCCCCTCTCTGTTCTTCTGTTGCAGACTAATAAAGAAGATGAGTTGTCAAGCCGAATTCAGAACATGCTGGGCAATTATGAGGAGGTGAAGGAGCTCATCAGCAACAAATCCCACCAGAATCTCATAGGGATTCCAAAAAGCGTTGCTCCTCTGATCCCACAAGGAAAGCCTGATCGTCCATACTTCCTTGAAAAAAGCAGCCATACTTTACCATCATCATTCCACCGCACAACCCACCATCCACCCATGGGACCTAGAGTTGTAGCTCCTCCCCCTCCAAGCCACTCCATTCATTACCAAAAGGCACAGTCAAGAACAGAACAGCCTTCAGGTTTGCACACTAAGAGTCATAGCTTATCCAATGGTTGGAGCCAAGGTCAAGAACACAATCGTGGTGGCCAGGAAAGTTACACAGGTTTTCACCACAAGAGAAATGACAGGCGTGCAGGTGGTGAAGGTCATGCTAATGAACTGCAGGCCTCTCTTTTGGCACTTTCTCCATTGCTGTCATCTTTGTCTTCTCCAGTGACACCCCTGTCACCTCTACATTCCAGCCAGCATATCAATTCCAGGTCACAGAACAGCAGCAAAAGTTACGGGACAACCTACAGTCAAACAAAATCATCTCAGGACCTAGTGACAGGGTCACAGGAGAAGGAAAGTCGGGAAAGCTCAGCCATTAAACTGACCAGCACCACTCAGCCTTTGTCTCACACTTTTCCCCCATCTTTGCCATCAAAAACCAGTGCAATGCAGCAGAAACCAACTGCCTATGTCAGACCAATGGATGGCCAAGATCAGGCACCAGTTGAATCACCGGAGCTCAAACCTCTCCTGGAGGAATACCATGGAGAACCTTATGAAAAAATCTCAGATTTAAAGGCAAACGCCAAAGCCAAACTTACCAAATTGGAAATTCCTTCTGAGCCTATAGAGGTGAGTGTCATTGTTGGGGGGCTCTGTTGTTGGCAGCATATATTCAGCTGTGGGAGAACAGGTCATCGAAGGGCAGAGACTACCAGTAACAATGATGGCTGTGCATGTCTTACTGTGTTTAGAAGGTGCATTTTGGGGTTGGCTTTTGCTGACCTGGGTGAGATATCTGTTGGATGGTGAAAATGCAACCCTTGCCATGATTCTGTGGTTTTCTCAGTGAGGCTGCAGCAGGTTTTATGGTTAGAGAGACTGCTTCTGTTGCTATGATTTTTGTTTTGCCTGTAAAGATTGTTGAAAAGCAGAAGGGTGAAATGACATGCGGAGAAGGTCGAGTGGTGATGCACCTGCAGTTAGTACATGCAGAGTGTCAGTCTGGGTGCCTGTGGGTAGAGTCCCCAAATCCTCATTGAATATTGGGACAGCTGGCTGTGCAGTGAGTTCTGTGGTCACCTGGTGGGTTGAAAGTTTGGGGGCTTTGTGATAAGCGACTGTGAACACTCCAGGTTTCTCCTAAGTACACTTTGTAAGATCTCACTGTAGTACCTTGGGAAAGTATTAATGTGAACAAAAAACATCCTGTAGAATTCTGCCAGATGGATTTAGCCTAGCTTCCTCAGGAAGCATGAGGCCATTCTGTCTCCCGCTTAATCAAATGCCTTTTGAGCAAGTTCTGAAGGTTTAAGAGCCTGAAAGTTCTGTAAAATGTTGCATTCAAGCAAAGAGATGCCCTCTTTCTTCTTCCAGCTATGAGTAAAATGATGTTCTTGAGCAGAAGGCAACCTTTTGTGTGGAAAAGGGTATTAATTAGCTGCAAGTGACTGTAGGCAATTTCTTGTGGAAAATGAGAGGAAACTGGCAAAATGACACTGCTGAGAAGTTAAGGAAGTACTTTCATGCAAAGAGACTTCATTTGCTTCAAAATAGGTTTGGCACTGCACATCATATCTCAAAGTGGGAATGCACTGTGGTCTGCATTTCATTATTTGCTTGTTGGGGTATTTTACTCCTGGGGGAGAAAGTTAAAGCAGTGCAGGGTCTTACCCTCTGCATTACCCATTCTTCATTATCTATTGCCAAAAAGATAAAGGGCATTTCAGGGCTTAAAACTCTTTGCCTCTTTGGGTTTTCTATTTTTTTTTTATTTTTTTTATTTGAGGGTATGCATATTTTTTTAGAAATAAGCCTTCCTTGTTCTCTCCCAACTCTTATGGTCCCATTTCTATTCTTATCATCTTTTCCCATCCTTGTGCTTTTTATGTCATCTCGTGTATCTCTGGTTTAATATGATTTTAGATAGATTTTAGATTTTAGGTGTGATGCTGTCTGCTGAATGAAACTTTTTTGCTTTCCATTGAGTGTGTGCCTTAATCCAAATGCCCATAAAAATCCTACAGCTGCCAGAGCACGAGTAGCACTATCCATGCTGGTGTGGGAGTGCTGTTAAATCTGTGGCAGAGTAAGAACCTAATAAAAAGGGAACTGAAGACAAACCAAAGCACTGGTTTTCATTATATGCTTAGTCCGTTTTGAAGCCGATAGATGAAACCTTTATGTGAATATGCGGAATGATTCTCATTTGAGGTAGGTATCTTCAGGCTGTGACTTCTGACAGTTTTCATGCATAGGTGCTTTGGGTAATGGCTCTGTAAGCCCTAATGAAAAATCCATTACTTCATTTTCTGCTTGTTTCAGGCTTGTCTTTATCATATTTGCTTAGTTCTATTTGGTTTCAGTGATACAGTCTTTCGGTGCTAAAGCCTGGAGCGTGAAGAGGAAGAAAGAGTGTGGTTGCACACCTGGAAGTATTTCGATGCACAGTATGAGAGAGGTGATGGGGAACAGGGCTGGGCTGGCTTGCTTCTAGGAATCACCCAGTGAGGTCTGTTGCTTGCAGGTGAAAGATTCACCCAAAGAAAGGATCTTGGGAAGGCCAATCAGGGGGTCCTTCAGCTGAAAGGCTGGCTCCCCCTTTTGTTTTTGGTGAAACAGGAGCTGTGGGGAGGCTGCTCCCCTCTCATGACCCTGGCAGTGACTAGGTCTAGACTAGCAGAAACCGCTGTTCTTCCCTCTTCATCCCAGCAACTGGGAGCACGGTTTTACAAATTTTGTTTAAACTGTTCGGCCCTGGTTATTCTGAACAGCAACATGCCACATTCCCCTGATCTCCACTGGCATCATTTAGGAAAGCTGTTTCTTCTACCACGTGTTTTTTGGCTAATTCAGTTTCTAAGGCGTATGTCACCTGCAGCTGTGAATTCATTATTGACAGCTTCTGTTCATGGCAACACTGACAAGTTAAGCCTTCCAGTCTGAATAGACAAGCAGATTCACCGTAGAGTGAATTAATCCACACTGGATAACTGTGCAGTGACTCACTTTGCATTCACATAAAGAAGCTGAACAGCTCTTCCCCAAATAAAAGCCATCGCTTTCAAGCGTCATCCCCGTCTCTTTAAGGCATCTTTCCAAATTTATTGCGAGAAGACTGAAAAATACAGTATACATGAAGCTTTGATGTATTCCTTCTGTCAATGTGCCAGGTTTTACCTCTTCCCCCAGCACCTAAACTAAGATGCTTTTAAGTCGTTCTCTCTTTTCGTGTCTTTAGGAGAACCACAGCACTGACAAAGACCCTTGTATACCTCCATTGACAAAGACTGTGATGTCTTAAAGGGAATTGGCTTGATGGCAGGGCCAAGAGGCAGTGTTGATAAATCCTCAAGCATTATTAAGGGCAGTCTGGAGGAATGTATAGCACTTGATGCTCACTAAAGATTTGGCTTTGTTTTCCTGGCAGTTTCATAAACGTTAGGGAGTAGCTCCTTTTATCTAATGTGATGAGACCTCATCGGACTCTCCTCTTCACCTACAAACTGGGAAGCAAATAAGGAAAAAAACTACTACAATAGCAACAAGAAACAATGAAGGTGCCCAGACATGTGAAGTCTTTTTGGTAACACTGTGTTGTCCTTGGAACACATGGTATGCACAAAAATCCCTGTGGGATTGCTATCATCGAGTTCTGTTCACCTCAGTAAGCATTTCTGAATAGCCACTAGTTAAAATGTGATTGTTGCATACTATATAATAATGACTAAATAATAATGACTAAATACCTGGAAAGAAGTTTGGATGACAAAAATAACAAGTCCATTCTAGATAAATAGTTTTTCATTGACTTCTCTCCATGGCCGCTCAGCTTTTCTACTGGCAGGAGTGGTCAGACAAGTGAACTCTCTGAACTAGAAATACATATATTGCTCTAATCCTGCATCCTTTAAAAATGAAAATCTTTACAAATATATAACTGTCATTTGGTCTTAACTAATGAATACAGAGTATTTAGTGTTAAGCTACTAGTGTTGTCTTTCTATCAACCATAATTTATTTATTATTTACTGAACAAAAGGGAGATTGTTTTGTTGGTTTTTTCCCTCTCATTTTTATATTCCTTTTTTTGAATTTTTTAAAAAATTTTTCCCCCTGCTTTGCACCAAGAGAGGTAACAAGGTGTTACTTCTGTGTCTCCTCTGCTGCCCTCTTCCTAGTCAGAAGTATCTTACGTGACTGGAGAAGGGCTTCTTTGCTTTACCACAAGCACTGCTAAAGAAGCAGATCAAACATGAATGACAACTGTTACTACTATTTTTTTAATGTTTGCTTACAGTCTCCGGAAGGAAGAGCTGCAGGATGAGAGCATGTGAGACAAGGAGCACATAGTTGGTTCAAAAGCCAAAAGGACATCTTGTGTTATTACTTCAGTTTAACCAGATTCTTCTGTTCAAAGTTAATGTGTCACACTGCAGAAATTATAAATTAGAGTGGTCTTGTTCATTCACAGATTCATGGATTTGACAGAGTTGGAAGAGATCTAGAGATCATCCAGTCCAACTCCCAGCCAAAGCAGGGTTGCCCAGAGCACATCACGCAGGAGCATCCAGGTGGGGCTTGAAGATCTCCAGAGAAGGGGACTCCACACCCTCCCTGGGCAGCCTCTGCCAGGGCTCTGCCACCCTCACCCCAAAGAAGTTCTTCCTCAGATTGGAGTGGAACTTCCCATGGTCCAGCTTGTGCCCGTTGCCCCTCATCCTGTCACTGGGAACCACTGAAAAGAGTCCGGCTCCATCCTCCTTCAACCCTCCCTTTAGATACTTGTAAACACAGATGAGGTCTCCCCTCGGCCTTCTCTTCTCGAGGCTGAAGAGCCCCTGCTCTTTGAGCCTTTCCTCATAAGGGAGGTGCTCTAATCCTTTAATCATCTTTGTTGCCCTACGCTGGACTCTCTCCAGCAGTTCCCTGTCTCTCTTGAACTGGGGAGCCCAGAACTGGAGGCAGGATTCCAGTTGTGGCCTCCCCAGTGCAGAGCAGAGGGGGAGAATGACCTCCCTCCACCTCCTGGCCACACTTCTCCCTATGCATCTTCCTCTTTGATGCTTGGAGAAAGTACGCTCAGGTGCAGCTACCAGCTCTCAGCTACAAGACTTTTCAAGTTCAAGACCCTTGCTTGTTCATTTAGCTCTAAGGTCTAGGCTTGGCTTTTATGCAAAATACCAAATAATAGGGGAATTGTTAAAAAAAAAAAAATAGTAAATGCATAGTGCTGCATTCAGCCATTAGACCACCAGAAATGGGTAGTGTTTGTTCTTCTTGCTTGGAAGCCCAGTCGCTGTGAGGAAAGGAACAGGTATCCTGCATCTGCCTGGGGTGTGTGGTGAAGAGGGGTGAGAGATGACGCCAAGAAACAAGCGGTTGAGTCCTTGACAGCTTTTCCCATCAGGTATGGATGGACCTAGCTCTTTGGCTTACACCAAAGCTGACTTCTCTCCATAGAGGGTCTCTGGGCACCATTGCAGAACATCTGTCCAAATTTGTTTGCTAATTCTATCACTTTACGAAGTAATGGGAGACTAAGAAAGAGTAGTTAAATAACAGATTTGCGAATCCTGCAGAGACCAAGAGCAGAACAGATAAGGTCAAGCAAGAATTTCCATGAACTGTGT